TCCCTGCAGCGACAGGACGAGTCAGCAACGCTCACCATCAAGTCACCCTGTTACGTTGGATAAAAATCAAAATCACACTTATCCATCTTCTTTTACACACAAACTGCTGGGAATTGAATATTTTTAGATGAAAATGCATGAAAAGTTACCCAAATATAGAGTGACTTCTTGTGTTTAACATAAATCTATCTGACAACCTGCGCAGACAAAGAGAAAGTGTGCTGGAGATAACCTTCCCGTGTATCTGTCGGGGAACAGATTATATGCCTTGAAATAAATGATGTGCTAAGAATGCTATTAACATTTGCATCGCAGCATGATTAACGTGATCATCTGTTTTGACTAAATCAAGTTTAACAAGGCCTGTTGCATCATTTAGCACCTTCAAAACAATGCCCTTTGGCCCAGCAGTGGGTTTTGTGACTGCATAGGGAAATGAAGCTCTGCGTGGTACAAAATGCTACATTGTTACACTTGGCAACATTTAGTTTTTGATTAAAAACTCACTTACCTAAAAGTAAATCACATAATGTGATACTCATCAGAAAGGTTTTACTGTGGTTTTGTCGCATTGCTTTCGCTGAGTGGACAGCTTGAGCTGCAGAGATAAATGTTTCAAAAACTGTTTTAATGATTTTGAGCTGTGTTGGATTAAAATTAATTGTGTGCAAATCTGTAATGCTGCCATACTTTATGACCACATTAAGTTAAATTATAATTCAACTTGTGTTTTGTGATTATTTTATCAACCAAACTTTTGTTTTTCTTTTGCTTTTTTCACTCAGACCTTATTTAACTCCAACTTCTTTAAATGAAGGCAAATTCCAGAAAAGAAAAAATGCATATTGTTTCTGAATTGCAAGGAAGGAGAAATGTTTTTAAGAAATTAACAAAAAGAAAACACAAATGGTGCCAATGTATTTAAATTATCTTGGAATCAAATCGTCAGAACTTGCTTTTAAATTTGTTTTGGACAATTTTGTTCTTTTCCTCTTTATTATTATTATTATTATTATTATTATTATTATTATTATTAATACTACTACTACTACTAATAATAATAATAATAATAATAATAATAATAATAATAATAATATTTAACCTTATCCACAAATTTATGAAAGGACTGGACCTCTCACCCCCCAAATGAAAATTTAGACAGCCATCATTTTGCATGCCCAGACAAGCAATATCTGTTCAAGCAGTAACCAGCGTGCAGACACTAATCTTTCCAATTACTGTGATATATAAAGCAACTGATCCAAAATATTTAAAGTGTTTATAAAAATAAATGCAACTGTTTGTAGAGATTCCAGCATTTTCTGTTTCACACCACCTTTTTGCAGCTCCTGAGTGGCAGGGAGGAGTTTCTTCTCTTCAGTTGTAGCTCATCTCTCTAATGAGCCACAGCTGTATGGAAGGACTGAGGCTGAACAGAGGACGATGTTGAGTCATTGTCTACTTATGGTATTCACTGAGCTGCCTGAATTCCTAGTGCAATTTGAGAAATTAAGAGTTAATTCTGTTTTCTTTGTGCTCCTCAGAAGAGAAAATTGTATCCCTCAAGTTTGGAACCTACTTGTGTTCTTCAGGCTGAGTTTGTCTTGGAGCCATCATCATAAAACCAGTCTTTTCACACCAACCTGTGAAACTCAACTACCATACTCACCTTCCTGGACCCTGGCATCCTACCCCAGGTGCGGTCCTGTTTGGTGCCCTGGGCGAAGCATTAATGGCTATTTAACACGATCCAAGCTACATCACAAGATCATTGTCTTTAGTAATTGTAGAAGCCTAATATTACTTTCTCATGTGGTAGTTACTTTTAGAAGAATTTCAATCTTCAAAATGTAATACATTCTGCTGAAAACCAAATATATCATCCTAAGCTGCTAAACCTAAAGAGTCAACCTAAAGAGTCAGCTTAAAGCATCAGCCTCCCCACCATCACAGACATCCACACCTCTAGATGCAGGAAGAGGGCCACCTGCATCATGAAAGACCCCACTCACCCAGCACGCACACATTTTGCCCTGCTTCCCTCAGGCAGAAAGTTGAGCATTAAGTTCAGAACTACCAGACTGAGGAACAGTTCTAAACTGAAGCTGTTAGACTCATACATCCCTAATCAGGATCATCACTTTGAAAAAAAAGGCTATAATCACCATTTTGATTGTTAATATGGGCTGCTGATTATCCATACTGCTGATCTCATGCTGATGTATTGCATGCTGCTGTATTCATTCATAGTCATCTGCTCACACAGACTCATGTTCGTGCTGCTGTTGTTCAGCGTATTGTTTTTGCACCATTAAGTGTTTAGCATATTTCTTAGTTCATATTATCTTTATTACCGTTTTCTTTTACAATTTATACTTTTGCTATTGTTGGATGTAACTGGGACCCTGTGTACACAATTTTGTTCCACCTCTTGTACCACATGTAACGCGAATGACAATAAAGAACCTTGACCTTAACAGCAGTCAGCATCTTGTTATTAGTAATTAGTAAACTTATCTTGCAACAGGCTATATCTTACATAACACCTTTCATGCTCCAAGAGATCAAAAGCTGGTTGGTTCTCTAACTATCTTTCAGACCGGAGGCAATGTGTTCAACATAATGGTACTTCCTCCAGTTATTTAACAGTCAACAATGGTGTACCACAAGGCTCAGTCTTAGGACCCACCCCCTTTACAATCTACATACATAATGTAGGTAAAAACATCCCTAATGCATCCATACATTTCTATGCTGATGACACAGTTGTTTATTGTCGAGCTAAAACTGTTGCTAAGGCTTTCCAGCTTTTGAAATCTGCATTCAACATCATCCAGATTGATTTGTTTCGCCTCAAACTTGTCCTAAATGCCGACAAAACCAAAGGGATGCTTTTTTCAAATAGGAAGTTGGTCCCAGCAGTTCTTCCTCCGATTTTATCCTCAAATGGTGTCCCCATTGAGTTTGTTGATTCCTATAAATATTTGGGTATCTTGGTCGACTCACATCTCTCTTTTAAGCTCCATGTGGAAAACTTGATAAAGAAACTGAAAGTTAAACTGGGTTTCTTTTTCAGAAACAAATCCTGTCTAACCCTGAATGCTAGAAAACGCCTTGTATCTGTGACTTTTCTTCCCTCAATTGATTATGGTGATATTATTTACATGAACGCCCCTACAAGAACCCTGCAGATGTTGGATGCTGTCTATCATGGTGCACTAAGATTCATAACTGGCTGTGATTATCGTACCCACCACTGCACCCAGTATTCACTGGATAACTGGACATCATTAACTTCACGCAGACTCTCTCACTGGTATATTTTCATCTTTAAATCACTTCTTGGTCTGCTGCCTTCATACATCTCCTCCTACTTGTCTCTGCGTGAGTGCAGCTACGGAGTGCGCTCTCAGGACTTTATTACCTGCAGTGTTCCCTCAGTGAGGACTGAACTAGGCAAAAGGGCCTTCTCCTTTTCCGCCCCTGTTTCCTGGAATATCTTACAAAAAGATTTGAAGCTCTCGACCTTGATCTCTCCAAGTGTCTTTAAGAATCTGTTGGACTCATGGCAGGGTCCAATGCTGACATGTTCCTGTTTTTAGTTTTCTACATTTGTCTTGGAATCTAGCTGGTTTTTTTTTGTTTGTTTTTGTTTTGTTTTGTTACCTTTTCCTTTTAGCCATCCTATTTGTTAAAAACAAACAAACAAAAAAAACCCTGTAGTATGCTTTTTTATAACTGTTTATTGTTGTTGCTGTTGTCCATTGTTGTCATCTTTCTTTGTTGAAATCAGGTCTCTCTTGTAAATGAGTCCTCGAGGCTCAATGGGATTTACCCGTATAAATAAAGGTTGATTGAGATGACACAGCTGCATACCTTTTTTATTTTGCGTTTTCTCTTTTTCCTGAGCAATCAATGGTGTGATTTACTTAGAAGTTAGACACATCTCTGTCCCAGCAAGGGAGAAAAGACCCCCCCCCCCCCACACACACACACACACACACACACACACACACACTTTCACAACCTGTGTCAGACCTCAGCAAAAGCTACATGTCCTGCACCTGGCAGAGGCACCCAATCCACAAGTGAGGAATCAGAAACCAATATGTAGGCTAGACAGGCTATATGAAATAACGCATTTTATTTTTTGGAGGGTGAGGGCGGGGCCTGGGCACTCATTCTACACTGGGGAGCTGCCTATATCACTCATATCAGAAACTGTGATTTGTCCTATTCTCCTCAAGGCCCAAAACACCTTCAACCTGAGTATGCCTTCCCAGTTTATTCAAAGCCTTCCAGAAGATTCTGTCATGAGAAAATATCCCTTTGCATCCACAGATAATTACCCATTTCCTCCTGAGTCCAGCTCCTGTAAACACTGTAAATATTAAGTAATTTTATTATTTCTTACCTTATGTCTCTTGAGTTACCCACTCTGAGTAAATTAACACAAATGTGTCACTGTCCATTTCACAATTCCAGATTTTCTCACTTTCTGCTTTAAACTAGAATTTAACACTTACTCGTTGATCATATAAACAGTTTTCAACGTCAACAGCCTAAATGCATCTACATAAACACATCTTTCATAAAATATGTCTTTGCAAAATATGTTGTTGTTTTTTTTCTATTTCCCTACAAAAAAATATTCTTACTTCTGGTAAGATAGTGAACAAGCTCACTGTGGCAACCTAAATTTGTTCACTCTTTCAACCAAAAACAAGACTTAAAGAAGATATATGAGCTTTAAAATTATAACGTTATACATTTCCATTTTGTGCCAGGCTTCTCTTCATTTGGTTATCCATTTGGTCCCCTAAAGATTATTGTTATCAGCATGGATCCCACAAAAAGCTTGGATGAAGAAATCAAGTGCTGCAGTGGGAGCCCACCTTTTCCAACCCTTTCAGCACCAAGCCATTGACTCCTGCCTCACAATTCCCTGCACTAAATGCCACTTACGCTATTACAAGTTTTCAGCTGAGTACAGCTCTGACCTGATGGAGCTGAGGACAAAGGGAGAGCACAGAAAGGGACACTTATGAAATGCCAGCAGAGAATAACCACCAATGGGATATGGGGTTGTTTCATGGCCGCTGAGGCACTGAGCTTGACACAGACAGCATCAAACTCCCACTATACCTTAAAAAGATGATCGCCGGTATGTTTGCTTGAATGCTCGCAACGTATGCAGCATCACATGAGATCTCGTTTATCCAGGTGTGGAAAGTGTTCTGTCTCACTGAATGGCATCAACACACTTGTAACTTTTAGGCAACCTTGACATAATTGTACCATAAATGTAACTGACAGCTCGGCAAGCTGTTCCTGACTTGTACTCAATCATAACTATATCACTGTCTACATGGAGGACACAAGCTGCAATTCAGTTCAACGGTATGATTTTGTAAATTTTCCGGAGCATATAGAATGCTGTATCGACGTGTGCCCCTGTATTGAAGAGATACAATAAATATTAAAGGCATAGTTATGCTATTAATAGCTTTTATAAGATAGACGTTAAATAGGTCTGATCAATTGATATTTTATCTAAGTAGTGTAAAATGATCCAATCAGCTTCAAAGGTAATGAAATCATATTAGCATAGAAAAATAGCCAAGCACATGCTTTTTAAATTTTGTGATACTGTGTATTTCTCAAGGCTTTGCCGGTTGCCTAGCAACTGTCAAAGCCAAATAATCGTCTGGCACACAAGGCTTGTAAAAAGGGGGATTTGCTTTTTTTACATTTTTTTAAACAAATATTTTAAACTGCGCTAATCAGTGAGCCTTGAATTTGTTTAAAAAAATAAAATAAAAAAAACATTGCTCACTTCTTCTTGTCCTAAAGCCAAACTAAGTTAGCCAACTGCATTTTCTCTACCATGGCAGATGGGGAAAAGTGAGACAAGATAAAGTAAAACTTACATGTTCTATAAGCTCCCTAATCATGCCATTCCACTGGCCCTTGTCATCCTGAGAGCCATATTTCCCATCCGGCACCAGGCGGATTTCATACGAGAAGCCCAGGATGTTGGCCAACTCTCTTAGCAAGTCGATGCAGAATCCTTCAAAACGGTCGTTCCCAACCAGCGCCTTGTCAGACTTCTTAAGCATGACATATGGCTCCTCCTGCACACACCCAAAAGATCAAATAAGAAGCAATGGTGAGGTCAGCTTTTTCAATTTGTTTCAGCACATGCACCTAATTGAAGCAAAGTGATGTGAGCTGACGAGTCACTGTTGCACTTAACAGATAGAGACAGCAGATTGGAGTTCAGTGTGTGGATACAGCGAGTTAAGATATGAAAGAATGCTACGTTATTCTTTTACATAGAAATTATTGAAACAAGTACTGAGCCAAACAAAGGCTCTATTCGCACGGGATTAGTTTTACCTAGGGGCCACATACTATTTGTAATATTACAGAGATTGTCTGTGTTGTTAATCCCGTGTGAATCGGCCATGTCAGTAATTTGTAAAGTAAAAATTCCCCCACAAAATACCTACTATATTTTGCTGAACTCCAAGGTCCTGTGATAATACTAATCATATGCAAATAGGCATCTCTTTGACTTGGACAAAAATGGGTGGGATCCAATACGTAATTAGGCGTTTTTTTGTTTTTCTTTGTTATTTTCCAAGCAAAATAATTTGGAAAAATATAAAACAAGGCTTTTTTAATTGAACGCGCTGCTCGCTTTGGCTTTTGCAGATGCTGCTACTTCCTTCACCGCAGATGACAGCAGGTGTGGAGACATGCGCATACAGCCGGTGATCAGAGGACCCATCCATCCATTATATTTATCTGCTTCTTCCTTTTCAGTTAGTGGGGGTCACTGCTGGCCATGTTCAACCATCACTGTGCGAGACAGATTGTCTATCTGAGCTTAACGTGGCTTTTTTTAACCTCTTAAACCGGCCGGTCGGACCTGCCTCCTCAACAAGTAGATTAACACAATTTTATATTGTGCATTCTTATTTAGTTTTCTTTGTGCTGATTTGTAAAACCACATCAAAGCCTGAGACAGACCCGGCCTGCACATTAAGCACATTATTATGGACCGGACATGACAACGCAGCGCGTTATCATATCTGGAAGATGTTTGTAATTTTCAGGCTTTGGTTATCTCGTGCGAATGCGCCACATAAAAAGCAGATGTTGGGGAATAATTCATTTATTACATGTGGTCTCTAGGTAAAATTAATCCTGTGTGAATAGGGCTAAAGACTGTAATGTTAGTAAATGTTAACATTTTCATCTCGTTTATTCTTCAATGATGGTTATAGACACAGTGGTTTGCTTTTTATTTTTCTACTATAAATGTATCTCCAATGTTGAGCTAACCAATCCTTCTGTCGTCTCTGTTGCACATTAACCTATTTAGCAGGTGCAGAGGTCAGTCCATTTCATGATCAGGTCTACTTGCATGTGACGCACTGTGTGGCTGCTCATAATTCGGGCTGTATAAAAGCCTGATTAGGAACAAAATGCAAGAGTGAAGAGAATCGTGCCCACGATGGTGCCTTCATCAGTTGTCAGCCTCCTCAGAGGGATAGCGACTGAGCTGATGCCTGCAGTGACAATGACTAATGCTGAATTGCTCACAAATGATTTCCTTTATTTAGTGCCTGTTACCATTTCGCTGTCAGACAGACTTGGAGATCCTGCTGAGCATTTCAAAACATGTTGGTCCATTTATGCAAAAGCTGTAATACAAGTTATTGCCCCCCAATAGCGGATATATAATTTACTAACTGAGCTGAGAACCAGAGTAATTGATTCTCTAGTGAAGGTGACCCCTTGCATTGTGTTTTTTTTGTGTGTATGTGTGTGTGTGAGAGAGAGTGAGTGAAAAAGAGAGACACGCTAAGGAAATGATGGAGTCAAAGAGGAAAAAAGAGGCAGCCACGGCACTTCATTCCCTGAGGAAATTATTTTTATAAGAGGCAGACGTAGTGAAAAATGCAGGTGGTGGAGTCAAAAACACAACACTTGCTGATGGCATGTGGACACAGTCTATGTGTAGGTCAAATATTTTTAAACGCCTTCAAAATTATTCCAACAAAATAACTAACCTCAGAACATAACAGTAAGAAGAAAACATCTGTCGTTGTTATAGTTTAAAGCCACTTGGACAATTACTTTTAGCATAACTCTTTAAATAATTAACAAGATGTGAATTTTTGATGACAATGCATTTTGAGGGCAAATGCTTTGCTGCAAACTTTTCTTAAGTTGTCCAATTAACTTGATCAAAAGTTTGCACGTTTACGGGGGGAGAGAGCCATTACCATCTGTTTCTAGCCTTCCAGTCTGCGCAATTCCCTGAGGTTTGGACTCAAATCAAAGTCTTTAAACCAGCTCTACCCTCACAAATGCAGCATGAATGTATAAGGAAAATAGGAAGAAAGCAACGTTTTAAATAGACATTACAGAAAAGGGAATGCAAACAATTATTTTAAGAGTAAAAAGATAATAGGTGCCCTAATCTATTCTACAAAGTTATCACTGTTAAACTGTCAGATATCTTCTGATGCATGCTCAATAATCCAGGTAGAAAAATCTAAAAAAGTTAAATCTGGTCCTCTGGACATTCGGTGCTATTTAAGAGACTGATCTGAATACAGCTCCTCAGACTGAGGAAGTCTCTCGGATGAGAGACGAAACGTTTCTACATTTTTTTGTTGATTTGCTTTGTTTTGTTTTTTTGAATGTCCAGAGGACCAGATTTAACTTTTTTAGATGTCAGATATCTTGTGTATGCAACTCAAAAGAATCAGTGTGATGCAGTTTTATATGGGGTGCCGTTTGTAAAGTTACACAGACAAAAATTAGCAATAATATTTTATTTTTGCTTTTCATAACAATATTTTGGTTCTGCCTTTCATAAGAAAAAAAAGGTTTTTTTTTCAATGTTATATTTTCATCTTTGTATTCATACATTTACAAATGTCATAGTTCAATAACTAAATACGTAATTTACAAGCAAAATATTTAGTTTACAAAATAAATACTTAATTTGCAAGTTAAATGTTTAGTTAGCAAGCTAAATATTTAGCGCCACACTAAATATTTAGTTTACAAATTAAATGTTTATGTCCAAGATGAATGTTTAATTTACAAACTAAACAGTTAACTTCCATGTTAAATATTTTGTTAGTGAACCAAATATGTGGGTGTAAATTAAATATTTTATTTCTAAGCTAAACATTTTCAAAACTAAAACATTTAATTTCCAAACTGAAAATTTATTGTCAAAGCTAAATATTTAATTTTCAAACTATACATTTACTTTCTAAGCTAAACATTTAATTCCTAAACTAAATATTTAATTTGATAACTAAATATTCAGCTCTGACCTAAATATTTATTTTCCAAACTAAACATTTAATTTCTAAAACAAATATTTAATTTGATAATTAAATATTTAAGTTGGACATAAATATTTAACTTGCTAGCTAAATATTCAGCTTGTTAGTTAAATATTAGTTTGTAAATTAAACATTTAGCTTGGACATAAGCATTTAGTTTGTAAACTTTTTTTAGTGTGGAGCTACATTTTTAGCTTGCTAACCAAATATTTAGTTTGGAACTATGATGTTTATTAATGTATGAGTAACAAGGTGAAAATATGACTGAAAAAAAACCTATTTGTTTTTTTATGAAAGGCTAAATAAACCAAAATATTGCTGTTAATTTTTGACTCTGTATTTTTACAAACAGCACCCCATAGTTTTTTATTATAATATGAAGATATTGATATTAAACTTGAAACTCATATCTGCAGTTAGGACATTTAATAGCTCTAAACTAATGATTATAAAATATAATTGTATATTAAAATAATTGGGAATCACCAATGTAAACTTTATAAGGAGAGAAAAAAAATCAACTTTATATAATTCTAACATAAAATCAGTTACCAGTTCTTCAGCAGTTCAAACCCCCGACCACTTAAAATCATTGTTCTGCTTTTCTACTCTGAGACAGAATTAATATAGATGGCACCTGATAGGCATTAATTATGGCTCATTGTGGCCTTGCTTGTCATAATTATAGCTTTGTGGTACAATATAGGCATAATAACAGTGTTTATCATTGTAGCTTGAAGGGGTGTGCAGTGGTGCCAGCACCTCCCTGATAGCTCCACCAACAGACTTCAAGAGGCAATGACAGAGTTAAGTACAAACAACTTCAAATCGATGGTTGTGTAGATCTGGAATGGGCTTTTTTTTGTTTTGTTTTTCTGTCTAAACATGTAATTAATGCTTTTTCAAGACTAGTTCATTGCATCTTCCTGACTTCATTTGTCCTTTTTTTTTCCAGTCTATTTTTGCTCTTTGGTTGTTAAGCTGAAAGGATTGTTACAACAGAATGTGGAAAAACCTACAATGTTCAAAATGGGGGCACCTTATGAGTCAGTCACAGAAAAACAACCTGATCACAGTTTGTTATAATAATGTAATACAAGTAAAAATGACCAATTTTCTCTAAACTGCATGATATTAGCAATGCAAAGAACAAGCTTTTCAGTCAACATACATTAATACAAAAAAACTGGGGAGACATAAAGCATAAACACTTTGCACACCAGGCTACACGTGTGACCTACCAGAATGGTGGTGACAACAAGAGACCGGTTAGCCAGGGAGTCTGTGATGTTCATCCCTTTTCGCTTCGGCACTTCTGTGATGTTAAGACCTCCTGATGCACTCCACTTCCCCACCTGTGGAAGATGAAAAGTGTGTAGTTACGTGTCCTGTGTCCGTCTGTAAGCTATGACCTCCACAAACTCCTCCGCCAACCATCACCCGCATTAGAGCCAGGCTGAACACATCTCTGGCAGCATTAGATGATTGGCTGAGTCACCTTCTATCAGCAGGGTAAGGTGCTTCGAAAAGAAGAAGGTAGTTAGAGACATGTCTAGAAAGTCATAAAAGATGATGGGTAAATCAATGATGGAAGATGAAAACATTGGATTGCAATTTAACTGATTAGATACTGAAAAAAATATTGACATATCCACAGTTGTGATGCATGTTTATGGCAGGGGTTCTCAAACTTTCTGGGTTCGGGGACCTCTTACAGGGGAGAAAAAGTTTCAGAGACCCCCTCATAACCCTCATGTTTTATTACATTTTCTTCATTTTGTCTCTTTAATGCAATGGAAATATTTGTGTAACATAAATACTTTAGACCTGTTCTTTAATAGTGTTAATACAATTGTTATACTTTTAAACATGGTGTATTTTTTATTCAAGACACAAAACAAAATGTTTAATTTCTACTTCCAAAAATTACAGTTTTATCAAAATTAACCATATCTAAAACCCTTTAAAACTTTGTCTGTTCACATAATAAACATAATAAACGTATTTCCGCTTCTTCAAGTTATTACAGAAAACTGTTTATATAAAACTGAATTCAATTCATTTCATTTATATAGCACCTATATATACATATATATATAAATTAAGTTAACACTAGTTATCTGAGGAGCAGACAGCTTTGAATTTAACTCCATTGCAGAACTCTCATCTTGAGCAAGCACAAAGGCGACGGTGGAAAGGAAAAACTCCCTTATGAGGAAGAATCCTTTAGCAGAACCAGGCTCAGGACAAGCGGTCATCTGCTTTGACCAGCTGGGTTTGACAGGAACAGATACACAATGGCAGGTCGAGAATCACATGATAATATAGAAATAGTATCATACAGAACAGAATCATAACAGCAGAAGTTATACCAAGTATTTTTTTTCATTCTTGCGGAACCCCAGAGGTCCTGGGACCCCAGTTTAAGAACCACTGGTTTATGGTATGCAAATTATTGCATACAAAAAAACATAATTCAAAAAATGTATAAATGAATTGAGCAACACCATTACTAACAAATTGCAAACTTTTTAAAATAATTTACAGGCAATTTGAAAAATTCTGTGAAAGGTTGAGCTGCATTGTGAACAGTTATTTTTTCTCTGCCTCCTCGGTATTATAGGCCAAATGAGTTGAATAAATAAAAAGACTTACACATGCAAGGAGCCCTAAGGCGAAAATCTCTGCACGCTACAGAAACACACTCTGAAACGTATCATTAGTGCAAATAGTCCTGTGGCTGTCTATAACAGTCTCTGTTTGCTAGTCAAGCTCACCACCAAAAGCCTCCTCCGCTTCCACTGTTGCTACACACAGAGCTTTTAATATTTGCTGGGGTTTGTGCTTGAGGTGGATCCATTTAATGTCACACAACCCCCACACCCCTAAACACACACACACACACACACACACACACACACACACACACACACACA